CACCTGTTCCTGCAGAGTTGTGATCTGGTCTTTCATCGAACGAAACTCCCTATCCGGTACCGCCGGTGGTTAGTCGCCGTACTTAGAGCAAAGTAAGCTAGATTAAAGAAATCGAGATATAACGTACTCCGAATCTTTGAAGTTATTGTTACAGCAATTGGGGGCGTATCGGCCTATCGCACAGTCATTTTCTCTCCCATTAACTCAAACTTCATATAATTCCAAGGGTGATGGAGAACAGGCGCTTAAAACATAGTACTGACACTCGAGTTTCAGATGGCCACAGCGCTGGCATGGCACTTGACCGTTGCACTTGATCTTGCGTCGCTTGCATTCATTGCTATAGCAAGGACCCACGTTAGTCAAACCGTACTCAGCCCCATGGCTGTATCACAACTGTGAGGATAATCATCGTGAATTTACAGCCATTCACAAAGCAAGCATGGGATAAATTCGGAGTTCCTCAGCTGGGATCATACCAGGCGATTGAGATGTAGCGATTCCGCTTTGTGCGCGTGTGAGTTCCGTTGCTCTGTTCCGCTTTCCTCTTTGCGCTGTCCTCAGCCGGGCTGGCATTTTGGTCTGCTGTTCCCGCCTGAGGGGTAGCAATATCGACATGGGATGACTCGGAAGCCATGTCAGATGCGGTCAGTATGGCCTGATCGCGTTGTTCTGCGCAGGATAAGGTAGCGAAGAGTGCGGAGTGATTCCTTTCATGCTGCTGCCGGGTCTTAATGGCCGCGCGGGGTTTCCGTTTCCCCAGAATCTTTTGAGCCAATCAGCGCAGACCCAGAGTAACATAGCACATCTCTCAATTACAATAGGTAGATAGATAGATTATCTTTTACGACAGCCATAAATATTTGCAATTCAAGAATCAGCAAGCACTAGCTGCGATAGATCATTTCTAATGCCAAAATCAATCACGAAAGCATTCGACGCGCGCGGAGCAAACCCTCTCGGATAGCTGAGGCTATTGTAGTTCGGGCTCCACTAAACAATTCGACCAGCAGTTGAGTATCTTTGGGATGCATCTTGAGCCAGCACAGACTGGAAACGATTGCCACGAGTGCAAACCTCCTCAGCACGGTCTTCATCCTCTGAAACATGAGTCCCTTGCGTGTATACTTGGCTGTCCAGTGGTGCCACATAGGAAAGGTGCATCTGAGATAGTAGTCAATCTGAGTAAATCTAAACGAGGTTATCAGCGGGCGTCTTCTATCAGTCGTGACTTAATCTAGTTGGGGGAGACTCACGGATAGGTGGACGAGTTCCAACCTTCATCAGTTTGGTACCAGCTTGTGCAAGCTCCGCGTCGAAAGACGGTGCCCTGAAGACTTCTCTGTACTTTGTCCGTCCAGTCGCGCTCAGCATTCTCTTTCACCTCAAAACAACTGACACGTCCCTCAAGAATGGGTTTGATGAAGTTCAGAGAGTAATTGATGGCATTCTCGACCGCGAAAATGACGCTGGTATGGCCGGTCGCTGTGTTCGGGCCAAACGAAAGGAAGAGATTCGGCATATGGTCCATGGCAATGCCCAGGTAAGCCTGTGCTCCTCCACGCTCCTCCCAAATCTCGTCAAGGGTTTTGCCGCGCCGACCGAAAACCGGGAGAGGATGAAGGAATTTATTGGTCTCGTATCCGTTGGCCAGAATAATGACATCCGCCGGTATCTGTCTCACCCCATCTGTTGACTCCTTACTTTCCGGCGGATAATGTCGACCAGGGCCTAGTGTCACGCTTCTGGCTTGGACGCCTACCAAGGGCTTCGTCGTCAGCTCAAAATTGGGCGCGTGAATGCTTGCATAATAGTTGGACTCGACAATTCGTCGCTTACAGCCCAGGCTGTAGTTGGGAGTGAGTATGTCGTGATATTTCTCCGGAGCAGTCGCTCGCATGTGCTCTAGGAATTTCCTCTCTAGCCTGGAACGATTCCGTCGGGAATACTCATTGTCCTTGAAGACTTTGAGAAAATCCCACTCCAAGAAGAAGAACAGCAGGGCCCTTGCACCGAAAGCAAGGCCAGGGACGTTTTTGAACAATGGCGGCGTGTACTTCTCCCATTTCTTGAGCAACTTCGGCGTCAGTAAATCGGGCATGAACCAGGCAGGCGACCTCATGAGCTGCGTGATCGACTTGATCTTGCACTCGGGTTTCGTCAGCTCAGGGACTACCTGGGTTGCACTGCAGCCAGAGCCAATGATGACAACATCTTTCCCGGACAGATCAAGGTCGCTCTTCCATCGAGCTGTATGAACGATCTCGCCTTCGAACGTCTCAATCCCGGGTACACTTGCAGGCCATTTTTTAGGCTCGACAAGCACACCTACACCGCTGACAACAATCTTTGCTCGCACAATCTCTGTTTTGACATAGACACTGCGCTCGCCTTCCTTGGATATTCGCGCATCTCTTTCCTCTTCGGATAAGTCTCCGGTACCAGGAACAAGGTGCAATAATGTGACTTGCCACTCTTCCGCATCCTCTAACCATCGCAGTTCTTTGACAGCTGCGTTGAGTTGAATCTTGTCGACTATCTGGTATTTCTCGCAGACATCAGCCAGGTACTGAACAATTTCCGGTCCGGGGGGGTGTAGGGTAGTCCAGTCTTTCTTTGGAGCAAATGAGAAAGAGTACAGCAGCGCGGGCCTAATAAACGCTCAGCAAAAGAGTCGCTTCGAGAGAGCATAAATGCCTCGAGAGGCCCATACACATCGCATGCGGCTCCTGGGTAGCGGTTGATCCACCAAGTACCTCCGATGCCCGATTGCCTTTCAAAGATTCTGAATTGATCAAAGCCCAGAGCTTCCTTGAGTCGACATCCTGTAGCAATGCCAGACACCCCTGCACCAATCACGAGAACCGGGTAGTAGGTGTGAGCATCTTTGCCATATGAATGGCGTTTGTGAATCCTTGCCACCGAAGAGGGCATCTTGTCTGATCAAGTTGTAATAGATTTGAAGACACAGCCGGGCAATAGCAAGAAAGCATAGAACTCCTAAAAGTCTTGGAATTGGAAAGACAGAGGTATAGACAGCAGAGAGAGTTGTTAAGTTATGTAGGCCAACATTCCTAGGGAGTTCCTCGGGCTTCCTCAGCAGGAACAGCCATACTAATGGCACACCCCTCCCCTTCATAATTATCATTTATTCAGAGCCGAGAATATTGGTTGCATGGATCTCAAATGAGGGGAAGCCATGATCGACAACGCCAGGAGCTGAGGGGATTGTCCTCACCTCGGTTGTTCAGTGACCTATCACGCTCAGATCGGATCGACCGAGGAAACATTATGCTTTGTGATCCTCACTCAGCAAGGGGGAGAGTCAAGACGACAGTCAACCGAGAACCATTGCTTTTCTCTGGAGCTAAAATGCTAGAGGTCATGCGATGTTCGATAATGATGAATCGGAGTGGTCCCGTCATATTCTCCACAGGAGCAGTCAAAGGTGGAGGGTGATTCGACATGACCCTGTATGGGACCTGAAGATCCACAGCACTAGATAGTTCCCGTTAAATGTGACATGTCACCTTGGTGTCAGGCTGTGTAGCCGGCACAATACTCTGATTTCGCCTTGTGATACATACAACCCTTGACCCTCCAGAGAAGATCACGACTTTCTGAAATCGAACGAAGTGGTAGCATTGGCATAGTTGTTCTGGATGAAGTATCAGCAATGGCTGCTTACCCGCAATAACCTGTGGGTTCCCAAGCGACCATCACGTGTCGTCTGCAGCAAACAACCGGGGTCAATGTCGTTAATCAGCTCCAGGGATGGACGCTCGATATCTTCAACCTCGCAGAACCGATATCGTCCCCTGAGACCCGTCCGCGTGGTTGAAATTGATGACTTCCGCAGTAGCTACTTCCACCCTGAACTTCCGGTCCTTCTCCCCCGTCAGCACTTTCGCGATCTTCCCGCATGTGAGCGATGGTTCCAGACAGTCCCTTCCTCCAACGGCCATGACCGGAGATTGAATACGGCATATCTACAAGAGCATGGCGGAGATTCATTCGTTCCTCTTGAGCTCACGCAATCGCCCGCAGAAACCAAGGCGCCGGGCGCAACTGTACCTGGATTGAACGAGCTGAGCTTCCGGCAGTTCCACGCCCCATTAAGTCTGTTCCTAGATTGGATGCGCACCGCAGAGTTGCAGTCGCAGGCTATGCGACTCTATCTGGCGCAATGCCAGCTACTCGATCTTCCACCAGTTCTTCGCGATGACTTTCCCACTCCCGAACTCGTTCTAAAGGCGGGCAAAGGAGACGTCTACGATACGAACGTATGGATCGGCCACCCGCCTACATATACCCCTTTGCACCGCGATCCGAACCCGAATCTCTTCGTACAAATTGCCGGACGCAAGGTTGTGCGACTGTTGGCTCCCGATGCCGGGCAGAGGGTATTCGCATCGGTCAGGCGCCAGCTGGGTCGGAGTGGGGATCGCGAGGCAGCTGCTTTCCGGGGAGAGGAGATGATGCAGGGACAGGAAAGGACTCTGCTGGAGCAGGCTGTTTGGGAGGATGCAGACTCGGACGGTACCAATAATGTGCAAGATGAAGGATACGAAGCTCATTTGGAAGCTGGTGATGGGCTATTTATACCAAAGGGATGGTGGCATAGCATCAAAGGTGTTGGAGAGGGCGTGACCGCGTCGGTAAGTTTCATCTACCTTCTGTTTTGAGTGGTCACGGCTCTAACTCCAAATCAGGTAAATTGGTGGTTTCGGTAGAAGAAACTGCAAAAAATCCTCGTAGTTAACTTAACTGTGCTGTATTATACCTGGAAAGTGGTTCTGTACATTAGACCTGACTTAGATAGAAATTCATGATTATATTTGAGCATGACGCAGAGTCGTGGTTGTGGTCTCCAAGGCCATTCTAGAATCCTCTCCGCGGATCCTCCCTCTCTCCGCTTTACCTCCAAAACATCAATCACCGCTATAATTATTCCCTCGCCTCTCACCCTACAACGCGAATCCCATTCTCATTGTGCAGAAATGTACACATCGCTCAAAGCCATATCCCGCGCTACAGTCCTGCATCTCAGTCTAAATCCTCTTCTCTCAATCGGAGTCCGCGCCTCAACCGCAGCCGCAATATCACCAAACCTCCGCTCATACTCAGCATTATACCCCATCTGCCCATCCTACAACCTCTACCACCCTACGCAAATCATCTCAATCCACAATCGCAACCAAGAACATCCCTTCTCTACATCTGCGACCATGTCCGCCGACTCTGCCTCCAACGAGAACCAGTCGCAACACCACCGCCAACCAGGAGAAGAGCAGGAACAGGATCAAAACAAACCTATCCTCGCGCTGCCCGAGGCTCCCTCGGCAGACTCACAAGCCACACAGCTCGACGTCAGTGGTGGCGGGTCGACTGTGAAGCTCGACGCTCTGGGTCCGCTGGTGGTCAACCAGGACGGAACGCTGTCGCGGATCGCAAACTGGGAGCAGATGACTGAGATCGAGAGGCGGAATACACTGCGTGTGCTCGGCAAGCGGAATAAATTGCGGTTAGATACATTGAAGGCGGCAGAGGGTGAGAAGGATGAGAGCAAATGATTGACTGCATAGCATACGGCGTTTGTCGACTCGATGGTCTATTGGATGATACATTTGATGTCTATATTGAACTATACTGTAGATTTTTCCGCGATGCTCGCATGGTTCTTTGTACATTTCCTCACAACAAACATATCCTCATGCCAATCATAATATAATCGTGACAATACCCAGACATACAATGTTGCAACATCTAGGCAGGCAGGTACATAACAGGTCGCCTAAGCGAAAATCCAATCAGCGAACCTCGAGAGGGCATTGCTAAAAGCACAAATCAGTGGGCTTGCGCGTGAACATTCGGGGTTCGACAAGATCATCCTTACCTTGGCTTTTCGGGAATGTAGTTTCTCTCGTACTCGTCGATCTCGTCGAGTCCTGTCACGAGATCCACCTCTTCCGGCTTCTTCGTCTTTGTGCGGTTTGCAATCTTCCAACCGAAGTACAGGATTGGAAACACTCCAATCATCGTATAAGAGAAGAGGAAGGTCGGGATATCCCAATTTCCAGGCAGAAAGACAGTATAGCCGCCTACAAAGGCCATGACTGTCGTGGAAACAAGAGCAACGTAGGCAGTATAGGGTTGCCACCAACTCTTGTATGGGAGCGCTTCGCGTGGAATACCTTGGGCTATCATAGCTTTCCGAAAACGGGTATAGGTAAAGGTGACGACGGAAAAGTTGATAAGCTGAGAAGCAGTTACCTACCAGCTGTTAGAGGCTTTGTTTTCCAGATAGAAGTCAAGGTGATCCTAGTGTCGTAAGCGACACGTACCAGGTTAACGAACCAATCCAGGACGACAGATGCGCTGTTTGATACTTGGAGGAAGGCAAGAAGTGCAATCAGTATGACAACTGAGACACAGTAAATCGGTACACCCCGCTTGGTGCACTTAGTGAACAGTCGGGGTGCCTTGCCGTCCAGAGCAAGTCCGTACAGGCTTCTGCTGGCGCAATAAACATAACTATTCCCGGCACTGAAAGCTGCCAGCAGGATCATGGCGTTGACAATGTGCGGGAGGATAGGGATCCCGAGTCTGTCCATCGCGATAACATAAGGCGACGCAGCGGCGCCAGGCAGGCCCTTGGCGAAGGCTTCGGCCATAGTAGGATCATTGTAGGGGACGAGAATGCCGATACAAAGTACACCCAAAACGAAGAACGCTGTGAGTCGATAGAATATACCGTTATATGTCCTGGGCAAGACTCCGCGGGGGTTGACTGCCTCTCCAGCTGCCATCGACACATAATCGGGTCCTGCAATGGTAAAACTGGCCTGGATCAGACATGCAAGAAAACCGAGCCATCGGCCAAGATCACCCGTTTTGTAATATTCCGCAAAGGCGCCCGGCTCGTTCCAGTATCGGAACCCGAATCGATCTCCTTTCGGGTTCCCGCCCAGCATCACAATGAATGTGAAGATAATCAATCCAATGCTGAGCAGTACTTTCGAAAGAGCAAGCCAGAACTCGGATTCGCCGTACCATTGCACTGCAAAGACATTGAGAAGTCTATCATTCTAGGAGTCAACATTCGGGCGATTCCAGATGGGAAGGGGCCTTTGCCGTTCAGAGGGCGTTACGTACATGTAAAGGACAAGCACGATGACGATGACCCCGCTGACTGGAATAACGTCGCTCCAGTAGTTTATGATCATATTACACGCGGTGATCTCAAACGGCACTAGGGCAGCCTCAAAGATGAAGAAGTTGTAGCCGGCAGCAACTCCAAAGGCTTCATCGACATAGCGGCCGGCAAATCGAATAAAGGGCGATGAAATTGGCAGGTACGTGACCATCTCAGCCAGACCTAGGATGCAACCTGTATTTAGCACGGACTACATAGCCAAGGTCTCGTAGTGTAGAATAGCCAGGGAGTCGCAGGGGCAGCATGCAGGGAAACGGGAGATTGTCGCTTCAGGGCACTCAATGGTACGAATGAGGAGAGCTGCATCGGGAGCACAGGTTGCAGGCGGCATTGCTGGGGACAGCAATTTGGGGGCTTGGAGACCGGGGTTGCGTACAAACAGTAATGGCCAGGATGACAAAACACCTAGAAGTAGATATGTATAAGATTCCAAGGCTTGATAAAAGTGCAGTCAAGTAAGACGCGCGTGCGAAGTATGACACTGTTCTGCGTTAAAGTGCAATTGGAGATCCTTGGGCTCTTCGTCGTATCTTCTCAAGATCAATTCGTTGTAACATCTCTGGTGTAGAGTCGCGCAAAATAAGTGTATCTTGCTCTCCTCTCTCTAGCCAACTCACCCTACGGAGACACCTCAAGGCCAAGATCGCAACAGCAAAAGAGGCAAATAAATCGAAAAGAGCTTATCAAATCGGGTATCTAGCGTAGTACTTACCAAATCGAAAATGCCAGGAACAGACTGCCAGGGCCACCCTTCATCAGACTTTTGCCGACCTGGACATAGAGCGCTGTACCAATCGTACCCCCAATACCGATAAGCTGAATATGCCTGGGCTTCAGCTTCCGGTGCGTATGATCATAAGTGGGCTTCGACGATGCGCCTCCTATTGATTCCCCACTATCCTCGACAACAGAAGTCTTCTCTGAGTAAGTTGTAGGACAGCCATTTCTTTTTGTCAAATTGGCTGTGGCCAAATTGACGTCGTCGGCCGAGTGGGAAGATCTATCATTGCTGATAGTCGTCGGCAATGATGTCTGATGGACACTCGTGTCTGGATCAGGCCTCGACATGATTCACGACAAGTGACAAGGTTTTTGTCTCATTAACACATTCCAAACATAGAGGAGATCCGAAGAGGGCGATGTAATGTGCAATTTATAGGACAGGGGGAAAAGGTGATCGAAGAAACCAAGAAGGGAAAAAGGAGGGAAAAAAGGAGAGAAAAAAGAAAAAAAAGATAAATTCAAGGAGAGAAAGTAAAAGCAAGACTCATCGCATTGAGCAGATAGAGTAAAAGCTCATGCGAGATTAAAATGCGGGACACTTTGGAGATGCTAAAATCAGCTAGGCCAAAGCCGGCATCGAAGGTAGTATCACCAACAACCAAATCGAAAGTGATTCAGCTCGGCCAATTTCTCGCCCAATGAAAGACTGGAAGTCTTTTACTATTGTCGCGCCTGCCATTGTAGAAAGACGATTAAGATTGGATCAGTAGTGACGGCAGCAAAATACCGTCCTGGAAAAGATGGTCTGAAGCCACTCTGAGGACTCCATAAGTCCCCACAGGCATAGTCCCTATAGAAATCGACGCTTCTGACGTTGGAGGTACTGATAGACAGTTTTCGGTCCACCGTACATCAAGACAGCAGGAATTAATTTCAGCATCTCCATCTCTCTCACACTCTCTCTTATCCTGAGCTCAACAATGCCGAGCGTAGTAGCAGGACGGAGTGGCCGTTAGTAACCCTTGGAAAGTCATGGCAGAGGCAAACGGAGGGCAACGGAGGGAAATCGTTGCGACGCGGTTATATCGATGGACCGGCATGGTGCAACAAGGAAACTGTGCCTGTTTGGGCTAGTAAACATGGCTAGGAGGCTGAGATTAGTTTAGTCGATTCACTAGAGAGGTATATCAGAGCTGTGTGGGCCATCTCTTGGTGAAAAGTCAACTTCGTTTTTGCCGAGGTTCAAGTGGGTTATAAAAGATGAAGAGGTAATGAAGAGTAAAACCAAGAACTAGATAATGATCATAGATGTTCATGAAGATATGGCACAGTACCAGCGGATTCTGACCGAGAATGATAATTCTGAGCCCTGATGCGAATAGCAACATTATTGACGTGCAATGGCATGGTGGCTGACCCCAATTGCCTAAGGAATCAACTACCGGATTAGTCTCAGCCACTGCATCAGACCGTCAAGACCTCAATTTCGACCTCAACATGGTCAGAACCTATGAAAACATGGCTACTTCTTCAATAGAAAAATGTTATTTGTCATTGATTGATATTCGAAGTTGGTCACATAACATTTGTCTGCTTTTGGACACTGTGCTGATCAAGTAACCCGAAAAGTCCATCCTTCCCCGCATTTAGAAAAGAACGGCCAACATAATCTCGCGATCTGAACATTATGCGAAGTCATAAATCATATCTTCAGTCTGATCGATGATCATCCAAGCCTAGTAAGCGTCGGAACAGAGAGAACGTAAGCATCCGAGACAAAGAGGTTTCCGCCAAAAAACCACTACTCAGGTCTGAACAGACGAATCCACGTATGGACCGTGACTCCGATCTTTTTCATCTGGCGATGGCTTCTCTCCGAGTCCGCTAGGTGGAAAAAAGCAATCGTTGTCTTCGAAGTAGAGGTAGTGAGATAGGTCAGAGTCCACGGACGTCGTCCTACTGCGCCCTTGAGCGTCCGGCCCCGTTTGTGTAGATGAGTTACGATTCGAGGGACGAGAAGGTGTTGTTTGAAAGGTTCTGGAAAGAGTTTCTTGGCAAGAGGACATTTCGCTGATATTTGTCTCTAAGAACTATATCAATAACAGTATGATAGGTAAAAACTTTGAGCTGAAGCTGGTGATCTTCAGGATGTCATCGAAGGTTATTTGAGGTTGCCTCCGCACTGTACAAAGATGAAAGACAGGTCGACATCAGCCAATGTCTATATCTCACATATATTAAGCTCATAGACACCACTCATCAATAAATACCTCTCTAGTTCAAATGCAGCCAGGCCATGTGCCAGTTGACGTCATCTTCGGAGGACATGGGTGATAGCTTCAAAGTAAATCAAGTATGCCTTTACATATGTTGACGAAAATATAGTGGCGTTCTCATTATTACTTGTAGTGATTCATTATTTTGTTACTCTGAGAATTCTACAATGACGCTTCAAAGAGAACAGTATACGAGAATTTTTTCTTGGAAGAAAGCGGCCAGGCTTCAGCAGGGGTCCATGTGGGAACTCACCCTCCAGTTTATAGTGTTTCTAAAGGTGGAATGAAATACCTTCTCATTAGGAGCACTACAAATGTATCAAAACGATGGAATCATAGATACATCTACCTCAAGAGG